TTGCTTAAACCTTCATGTTTATTTTATCCAACTTAAAACAATCGTTTCCTTTTAATCTAGGCAAAAATTCACATTCTCATGCCTCCTTATAATCTTTTTACCAAAAGCATATTTTACTTCCCTTGTAAATATGCTTTTTACCAAAAAAAAAAAATATGCTTTTTACCAAGAGCATATTTTACTTTTCCATGTAAAACTGTTTCTTCAGGCCGGGCACAGTGGCTCACACCTGTAATCCCAGCACTTTGGGAGGCCAAGGTGGGCAGATCACGAGGTCAGGAGTTCAAGACCAGCCTGGCCAACATGGTAAAACCCCGTCTCTACTAAAAATACAAAAATTAACCGGGCGTGGTGGCGGGCACCTATAATCCCAGTTACTCAGGAGGCTGAGGCAGGAGAATTGCTTGAAACCGGAAGGCAGAGGTTGCCGTGAGCCAAGATCGCACCATTGCACTCCAGCCTGGGTGAAAGAGCGAAACTCCATCTCAAAAAAAGAAAAAAAAAACAAAAGCAAACAAACAAAAAAACCTATTTCTTCAGTAGTCTTAAATGCATGTTACACTGTTAACTCTTAGCAGCCTTTACTTTTGGTGAAAACTTTGATAAGTTTGGGATTTTATGTACTAGGTGTGGAGCCTAAGACCTAGACAGAAGTGCAGATAAGGTCTGACTTATTCCAGCATCTAACTCCATGTGTCCCAGGCCTTACCTAGCTGTAAAACAGGCAATTTGTACAGCTAGGAGTCATAGTGGCATTTTATAAAGCATTTAGGAGACCTAATCACCTTTAAATTATACGATATTTGTTGCATAAATTCCCTTTCATAAATTCTTTCACGACTTACACAGACAAGCTATGACATGCCTTGACTTTCTGACTTGTCCTAAACATCCCTCTTTTTTAACATCCAGTTACTTTAGTACAAGAATTTGCCATACAGATTTAATACCTTTTTGCATAGCTAGGGGGCATGGCTAATTTCACATGTCTCCAGGCCTTATCTAGAATCTAATGCTCCACAATAAATCGAACAATGTTTAAATTGAAGAAGGAATTTATGACGCAAAGCGTTTAGCAAACCTAATGTTTGACCTGCATAATTGAGACCAAATGTTTATGTTTTGAAGATATTTTACCAGTAATCTTTTAAATTCTCTTTATTTTTATTACTTTATTTATATATCTCTTATTTCCTTGTTTCTTTTACCATGTTTTTTATATAACCTTTAAATAAGCTTTGAGTTAGACAAAAATTAGTTACCCTTTAAAAAGGCCACACTGTTTAGAAAGAATGTTTTCCTATAATCTATTTTTATTGGAAAATACCCAAATAATGAAATATTTGTTGTTTAATTTAATATTACTTTAGATTCAAAATTATGACATTTGTTTACAAGTATTTATCCCATTACATTTATCTAATTATTTATTTTAATCATTTACCTAGATTATTTATAAAAACTGCAGTAGTCATCATTGAAAGTTATGAGACCACCATTGCAAAATTACAACTGAGACAGTGAAAGTGATCTGCTGTAACTGACTCTATCTTGCTTCTAACCTCTAAGCTATTCTCATTCATTAACTTAGTTTATAGTTTAGCTTTGAAACAAAGATGATAACCGTCCTTTCCCGGAACAAACTTCCTTTATGTCTATGAACTAGACTGCCTAAGGCCACAAGATCAGAAGTTAGGGTATTTTACTAAATAATTCAAGATGTAGCTATCTTCATTAAACCAATATCAATGTTTTATTTATTAAAAATTACGCAAGCAGCCGGGCACGGTGACTCACACCTGTAATCCTAGCACTTTGGGAGGCTGAGGTGAGCAGAACATCTGAGGTCAGGAGTTCAAGACTAGCCTGGCCAACATGGTGAAACCCTGTCTCCACCAAAAATACAAAAATTAGCTGGGCATGGTGGCGGACACCTGTAATCCCAGCTACTCAGGAGGCTGAGGCAGGAAAATCACTTGAACTCAGGAGGCGGAGGTTGCAGTGAGCTGAGATTGTGCCATTGTACTCCAGCCTGGGTGACAAGAGCGAAACTCCGTGTCAAAAAAATAAGAAAGAAAAAGAAATTACACAAGCAAAGATCACTCTGTTTTGGACTGAGTTATCGTTTTGTAGCCTCTATGCCAAATTTTGACACATTATAGTATTTGGCAAAGATAAGTATGAAATTGCTTGATCAACAAATACAAGCAAAAACATGCTGGCAACTCTGAAGACATTTCTAATATTACTTTACCAATAATGTTTAAAGCTAGCTTATTTATCGAAGATTTTACTTAAGTCACATAAACTTGAAAAAGCATTTGACTAGTCTTTCCTTTTTTCTGTTAAAGCATTTAAACACTTTTATTTTTCTGTGAGCCAACTAATTAGAACTCTTTCATATATTTTCAGTAGTGAAATCATTTAGTCATGCTTTAAGGTTCAGGAAAGGAATAGGCAAAACTCTTGGTGAGCTTTTGTTACATTCCAGCCTTTGTATAAGGTCACTGGCTTTTAATATTTAACTGAACCACTCAGTCAGTACTGAAACAGTTGTGATGAAGGCCTGCGTTAGTGAGACCTGGCCCACAACAGTTTTACAAACTAGTATGGCTGCCTACCCATTTTATCATACCACTCTGTACAAGTAGAGTAGTCATAACTAAGAAACGAGTGATTTCACTCAAGCTCAGCATTTGTTCTATCACTCCTCATTCATCCATTCAACAAGTACATACTGGTCACTGGTCATCCACTGGGGATACAGTGGGGAATCAGACAGCCTGGGTCCCTGCACTCATGGGGCTCAGCATGGGCTTTCAGTCTGGCTGAGAAGACATTCACCAAGTAATCGGTAGAGTGTTTTGAAGATTGTTGATCAGGCAACAGTCTTCAGGGATATATGGAGGGAACCCATCTCAGGACATCCATCCTAGTCAAGGGAATATTTCCTAAGGAGAAGTGATATTTAAGTGGCGACCCACAGCATATGGAGAGTTAGCCAGATAAAGACAAGGCAGGCAAAAACCTTTCAAACCAAGGAGGCCTCCTTGGAGGTAGTAAAGAATTTCCATGTGATCATATGACTATAGACTAGGAAGAAGGAGAAAGATGAGAACTAGAGCAGAGATAAGAGGCAACTAGCTTCCTGTGGTATTTCCTAGGGGTGTTACGTTGGGGTTGACAGATAAACAGTACCAGACACAGTGGGAGGAAGTAGACTGTTAAATGGGAAGCTGGTGAAAGGATCATTCAGATGGAGTGATAATATTACTGGCTCCCAGGCACACTTATACAGTCTGCTGGTTTCCTGAAAGTAATACCACCCACAGAATGAGGATGGGATCTGGTGGGCAGAGCTCCCTTCGCCATTCGTATGGGACCTTCTCCACCTGCCTGCCCCTTCAACAGGTGTAAGTAAGAGAGGCAAGACTGCCCTAATGTGCCAGCTATTTCTCATAAGAGGAGGACGTCAGTTGCCTGGGGGTATCCCTCAGTAGGTCTAGCTTCAAGACCTGCCTCAAGTCTCTTTCGGCAGCCTGGATTCTGTAGGATGTGGACTTTGAAATGATATATGTCTACAAATGAACCCTGATAGTGCAATAGAACCTTGACACTTACATCTTTTCAGGTCTTCCAGAAAGCTAATTCTGTGGTTTTGTTTTGTAAAAACTGGAAGTTTTTTGAGTTCCACTTTTAATCTTGTTCTACATATTTGCTCATTATTAGTAAGAATGATTTCTAGTCCAGGCTCAGTGGCTCACACCTGTAATCCAAGCACTTTGGGGGGCCAAGGCAGGCGGATCACCTGAGGTCAGGAGTTTGAGACCAGCCTGGCCAACATGGTGAAACCCCATCTCTACTAAAAATACAAAAATTAGCCTTGTGTGGTGGCGGGCGCCTGTAATCCCAGCTACCCACTTCCACTTAAACCTGGGAGGTGGAGGTTGCAGTGGCCGGATCTCAGCTCACTGCAAGCTCCGCCTCCCGGGTTTACGCCATTCTCCTGCCTCAGCCTCCCGAGTAGCTGGGACTACAGGCACCCACCACCTCGCCCGGCTAGTTTTTTGTATTTTTTAGTAGAGACGGGGTTTCACCGTGTTAGCCAAGATGGTCTCGATCTCCAGACCTCGTGATCCGCCCGTCTCGGCCTCCCAAAGTGCTGGGATTACAGGCTTGAGCCACCGCGCCCGGCCGGGCTTAGCAAGATTTCTATTTATTATTTAAAATTCTCCCAGATTTATCTTGGGACATGTTAATTTGAGAAAGGAGGGGCATTTTTTCTTTGAACAGGAGGGAAGGAGGAGAAAATAAAGATGGCATACATGAGATCTAGAAAGGAAGGAAAGTATAAAGGAGCCTTGTCCTTACTGGCAAAGTAGGAGGGTAGATTATTTACTGAGATAAATTAGAACCAGAGACTTGAGAAGAGCAAGATAAGTTTGAAGCAGCTACTAGGAAGAGTATGCTAAGGGTCTTTGAAAGAGATGAATGAGGCCGGGGGCGCGGTGGCTCATGCCTGTAATCCCAGCACTTTGGGAGGCTGAGACAGGCAGATCATTCGAGGCCAGGAGTTCGAGACTAGCCTGACCAACATGAGGAAACCCTGTCTCTACTAAAAATACCAAAAAAATTAGCCGGGCGTGGTGGCAGGTGCCTATAGTCCCAGGTACTCGAGAGAGTGAGGCAGGAGAATCGCTTGAACCTGGGAGGCAGAGGTTGCAGTGAGCTGAGATCGCGCCACTGTACTCTAGCCTGGGTGACAGGGCGAGAATGTCTCAAAAAAAAGACAAACAAACAAAAAGAGATGAATGAAAGGCCCCATATGGTTGACCAGTCCTCCAAGAAAGTGGTGCTTTTCAACACTGTCAGTGCTTCTCATTCCTTGTTTCAAGTCTTTATGAAAAAGGAACATGCCCTAATGCTTTAGATTCTCCCAAGATCTCTTTAAGGGAAAAATCTCAAACATAATAACCACAGATTCTTTTTATTCTTTACAGACTATTTATTTAACTTTGCATCTGCTGCCACAAAAAAGATAACTGAATCAGTTGCTGAAACAGCACAAACAATAAAGAAATCCGTAGAAGAAGGAAAAATAGATGGCATCATTGACAAGGTACATTCAATTATCTTTTGGAAGTAGAAATGTATGAAATTCATTGTTTCCTCTTGATTGTTTCTTCTTCTTATGAACATTTTTTAACCTAAGTAGAATATCATATTCTGATAAAAATGTTAATTGTTGAGATTTTTGGTTTTTTCCTCTCTTTGTGTAACAAGTATCATTCAAATTACAGTACTTGGTTTAAATAGCTGTTTTTATTTTAATATATTACAATCAATACATTGATACTTGGGGGTTATACTAAACTTTTCATGTTTTTTGTTTGTTTGTTTGTTT